TTTCAAAATTCAAGTGTCCAGCAACCGAGGGCTTGCCTCACGGGGCCGGAGAAGGGGCTGGCACTGGGGCGGCAGCGCAAGGTGCCCCACGGGGCCGGAGAAGGGGTCGGCATTCCTGGCGCGTTTCCAGATGTTTCCCCCGGATTTCCGCGAATCCCTCAGGATTCCTTTCTGAGGACTCCTCCGGACTCGCTAGGACCACAAAGGATTCCTTAGGACCCCCCAGGATTCTTCTGGATTCTTCAGGAGTCATTCCGCGGGACTCCCGAGGATTCCTCAGGATCCTCCAGGATTCCGCAGGCTCCTTCTGGAGCCCCCAGGATTCCTCAGGATCCCCCAGGAATCCCTAGGATCCCAAATCATTCTTCAGGATTTCCCCATGGGGTTCTCAGGACTCCGTTGGGTCCCTCAGGATTCTTCCGGATATTTTCGAATTACTCCGGATCCCCAAGGCTTCTTCAGGACACTTCAGGGTTCTTCAGGATGTCTCCTCAGGACGCCTGCGGACTCCTTAGGGCCCTCATGCTTCCTCAGGATCCCTTCAGGGTGCCCCTCAGGATTCCTCAGGATTCCCTTGCATCCTTTAAGATCCCCAGGATTCCTCATGATTCCTGAGGAGCCACTTGGGATTCCAAAGGATCCCCTAAGTGTCTCCGAAGGATTCCTGGGGAGGTTCTGGAGGATTCCCGAGCCTTTCACATGCAGAATCCTTAGGGGTTCCTGAAAGCTCCCCAGGGGTTTTGGGGGATTCCCTAGGGGGTCCTGAGGACCTCCCCCCCCTCCTCCCCCCAGGGGGTCCTGAGGATGCCCTCAGGGCTCCTGGGGATGCTCTAAGGATTCCTTGGGATTCCCTAGAGGTTCCTGGGGATTTTCTAGAAAGATTCCGGGGGATTCCCTTTTATGGGCTCCTGAGGATTTCTAAGGGAGATTCTTTCGGATTCCTGAGGATGCCCTGGGGGGTCCTACGGAGTCCGTGAGGGGTTCTGGAGGATTCCCGATGGGGTCTTTAGGGGCCCGTGAGGCATCCCTGAGGATTCCGTAAAGGATTCCCTAGGGGTTGATGAGGAAGTGCGCGCGCATGTTTTATATTTTAAATAATGTTGTTGCGACATCCACTCGTTTTTCAAAACCAATATACCAGTGCTCGTGAAGATCGCTCTCGGATTCTTTACGAAACCAAAGGTTTTGGACAGACTTCGACATGCGAGCGCAGCGGACGCGCGAATGTGGTCTGCATGGTATTGTTTGATCGGGAGTCTGCCTGGATGGTGGTGGTGCTGCTGCTGCCCCTCCCCCTCCCTCCCTTCCACCTTTTTATGAAGTTTCCTCTCCCCCTGCTCCTGTCGGGTCTACTGCCGCCGTCTTTGCCGTCTGAGTCTTTAGCTTTCGTCAGGAGTCGTGAGGGTCCTTGAGGGTGTCTTAGCTGCACACGGGGCCGAAGAAGGGGGTAGCGCACGGGGAGCGTTTTCTGTGGAGGGAACAGCACAGATGACGGTGCACACGGGGCCGGAGTGTACGTTTGCCCACCGCGGCGCGACACCGCCGCTGATGGCCTCTAGCAGGGCCGGATAAGTTGTCGTCACACACCGTCTCAGGACGGGGCCGTAGAATGCGCCCGTCCACCGGGGGAGTGACACCAGAGGCTCCGGCCCTGCCCGAGGCTGGAGTACGCCTTTCCATTGTTTTTGTTTTTGCTGTTGTTGCTTTTGTTATGGTGGTGTTGGTGGTGGGTTGTTGTGGTGGTGGCTGTGGTGGTGGTGGCTGTGTTGTAGTTAGTTTTGGTGTTGGTGGATCATGGTGGTGGTGGTAGTGGTGGCGGCGTTGGTGGCGGTGGTGGCACGGTGGTTTGTGGTGGTGGTGGTGATGGTGGGTTGTGGGTGGTGGTGGTGGTGATGGTGGTTGTGGTGGGTGGTGGTGGCTGTGGTGGTGGTTTGTGGTGGTGGTGGTGTTGTGTTCTGGTGGTGGTGCGTTGTGGTGACGGTGGTGCTGGTGGTGGTAGTGGTGGTGGTGGTGGTGGTGTGGTGGTTTCTGGTAGTGGGGTGTGGTGGGTAGTGGTGGGTTGTGGTGGTGGTGGTGATGGTGGTGGCGGTTGTGGCGGTGGTGGTGTGCGGTGGTTTGTGGTGGTGGGTTTTGTTGTGGAGGCGGTGGGTTGTGTTGGTTGTGGTGGTGGTGATGGCGGTGGTGGTGGTGGTGTGGTGGTTGATGGTGGTGGTGGTGGTTGTGGCGTGGCTGTCGGGTCTTCCAGTCCACCGTGTCTTGGCTTTGGGTTGCAGTTCCAATGGATGCCTCCTGGGGTCTCGTCAGAGGGGTCCCGGGGGCGTCTGATGAGCATGTGCAAGGGTGCCTGGGCGCCTCTCGAGCGTCTCTGGGAACTTCCTGGGGGCCCCCAGTGGCTTTCGGGAAGCGAAGGCTCGACATGGCAATTTGTTTTTCCCCGTGGCCGCTTCTGGTCTCTATCTGGTTATCGTCGCTGCGGCTGCTGTTGGTGCTGCCGGCCGCCGCCAGCTCAGGCGTCAGAGCCGGGGAGAGAGAGGGCCCCCCCCCTCTCCCAGGAAGTTGGAAAAGAAAAGATTGGGGAACTTAGGATATCCTGCTCCCCCCCCCCCGCCTGGGAGGGGGGGTCGGGAAGAGGGGGACTAGGGGGGAGGGGAGACCCTCTGGTTCTGGTCGACGGCGCCGAGTGTTGAGGGGGGCCCACCCCCTGGTTCGAAAACATGCGATTCCGAAAGCATCCATCCGACCCAACCCTTGCCATCGTATGTAATCGATGCGCCTTCGAAGAATAATAAGGAGAAGAAGAAGACAACGAAACCATCGGCACAAGAGGCGGAACAAAACAATACGTCGATAGCACATGCATAATACATCGATGCGATTTGAGCACCCCTCGCCGATTCCGACCAAACGTTCCCCAGGCTGCTCCAGGACGCTTCCAGGCGCACCCAGACTCTGCAATCCTTCCCCACACGCTCACAGGCTCGCAGTCGCAAGCAGCAGCAACAGCATCCGCATCCTAATCTTCATCGCCTTCGTCGCCGCAGGAGGCCTCAATGAGCAGAACAATTCAGATCGCATTGGCGCGTTGACCACGCACGGTTTTCACAATGGGGCTCTCGTGTTGCTGGCGCCGTATACCGTCATTTCACACAGCCAAAGAACATATCAAACGCGGGTCGATTTCAAAAAGGGTTCTCGCCCTGGCGATGTGCATGCTCGCTTCCAGATTGTCCTTAGCTGCGCGAGTGGGTGTCGAGCCCTTTCCAAGACGAAGGGGGCATTGGAAAAGGAACCCTTACATAAGGAATCCAGGGTTTGGAAGCCGGCGGCACTCCAATCGTGAACCGGGCATGGCTATCACGACCGCCCCATCATCTAAGGAATCATCCAGGGTGTGCAGCCTCGTGGGCACATTCCTTGACGAACGCCCCCACCGTGTTTGGGTCTCCCCCTGGCCTCGCGCGCGTTCGAATTCACAGTCCACCATCTACACTCACTTGACCTTTCTTCGACCTCTACGACCCAGCGTTCCACTCTGTGAAACCGCTAACACGGATAAAGGGTGGCCCTTCTTTTCAAACGGGGCTCCCGCATGAGATTTCCGCGCAGCATACGTCCACGATTTGGACATCCTTCAACGCTAACGTTGTTGGTTGGCACGTCCTTGTAAAAATTAGGCTAATTATCCCTCGGCCTCCTTGCAGGGATCTCGCGTCGGATCTCCGCGTGGCAAACGTCCACCCACGATTTTGGCATCCTGCAACGCTTTGACGGATGGGGACGCGTTTCTTTCAAAAAAGGGCCGTGTTGGGCGTCCTTCAGGGAGCGGGGGGATATTTTACAACAGGCGCCGTCGTTTGAGTGGCAGACCGACCTACCGGCCGCTCGTCATGCAAGGGGGATCGCTTGTATGGTTTTGTGAAAAAGGTGTTGCAGCATCGGTTGATACTTTTTGGGTTTATTCTGGTCGTCCTCCTCCCCCTCCTCTTCCCCGTTTTGTTCCTCTTCCTCCTTCCTCCTCCTCCTCCTCTTCCTCGCCTCCTCCTCCTGCTCTCCCCTTTCCGTCTCCTCATTTCTCCTCTTCCTCCTCTTTTCTACTCTTTCCTCCTCCTGCTCCTCCTCCTTCGACTCCCCTTTTCCTCCTCCTCCTCTTCCTCCTTGTCGTCTCCCTCCATTCCTTGTCCTCCTACATACTTCCTCCCTGTCGCACTTCGCGCCAGTCGGAAGGGCGGGTCGGGCGTTTCGCTTGAGACCCCCTGACCACTTATGATCCCGGAGCTGAAAGCATGGCAGCAGTTTCGCACATTGAGGGCGGACAGTTTTCAACATGCGCCTGTCGCTCTAGCGTCGCGCACATTCGTCTCAAACGGTTCAAAGAGCTTCACGGCTCGAGGTTGGGCCGTTGTTTAATGTGTGCGTGTGACTCGCCTTAGCGCCGCGCACTTTCGCTATTTTCAATTGCTAGATCTTCACGGATTACGAGCGGGCCGTTTTCAACATGTTGTTCTTGCCGTAGCGTTGCGCACATTCGTTGTAGTAAGTTGCAGGAGTTTCGCTGATTGAGGGTGGCTCTTTTTCAAAAGTGACTCTCGCGTTGGCGCCGCGCACACTCGTCTTAAACATGTTCAAGCGTTTTGTAGACGATGCGGTCTACGCAGTCGAGGTAGTAGCCGCGGTCGTGGCTGTAGCCAAGCTCCTGTGTAGGCGCATCGGACAGGTCCTCGTCGTGGTTCCGGTCGTGGATCAACTCGGCGTGGTCCCCGACGTCCCGCTCGGCGTCGTACCCTTCGTCCGACAGGTCGTCGCTTATCTCGAACAACTTCTGGTGCTCTACCGTCCCCGCCATTGCAGAGGCCCGGAATCGGTCGGGCCCGAAATCGCTCGAATCGGAAGACAGTCGAGCACAGCCGCGGGAGGGCCGCCAGCCGCGGGGCCGATGGCGCGTTTGGGACGCGTTTGGGACGCGTTCTGGCTTGAGCCAGAACGCTTGAGCCAGACGCCAGCGTCCCGCCAGCACCCAACGCCTGCAGTGACAGCATCGACGACCACGACGGCATCGGCGCCAGCACCAACGCCACTCCCCAGCAGCGCTCCGACGAGGACCACGACGAGGGCCACCACCACGACCAGGAACCGAAGGCGCATGCTGACCACGACGAGGACCACGACGAGGACCATGAAGACCTGGATGCGACCACCCACCCCGGCACCCACGACGGCTCAGACGCCGCTCCGAAACGCAGCACGCCTGCCAGCTCCGACGGCGACGTCCCCGTAGTAGGTACGACGACACCCAACCACACCAACGCTACCACGAGGAAGCCCCCTGGGGGAATACAGATCTTTGTGAAAACGCTGACGGGGAAGACCATCGTGCTCAACGTGACGGCCGGCTACACGATCAAGGACGTTAAACTCAGCATCCAGGACTCCGAGGACGTCCCGCCGGACCAACAACGCCTTCTTTACGGCAACAAGCAGCTGGAGAACAGCCGCATATTCACGGACTACAATATCCAGAGGTACGCTACGCTGCACTTGGTACTCCGACTTCGCGGGGGAGGCCCGGAATCCTTACTTACCGCGCTTTTCTCCTGCCGACACAGTGCGTGCCCCCTTTTCGGGGTTCGGGCCCCTGGCGCGGGCAGATGCCAATCCTGTAACATGGAATGGCAACCACACGATCCAGAAACGCCGATACCTGGACATGCCGATGCGACCGGGCACGCCCAGGCCGCAGCCACGACGGAGGCGATGGATACGGACCTCATGCAGGACACGGGACTTTCACAGGATGTCGCCAGGCTCGCCATGGATCCTGCCCCCACTGCTGCAGATTCTCCGCCAGGACTCGGGGACCCGGGGCAGCTTGCCCCTCCGTGCGTCTCCCAGTTCCTTCTGTCCGTGCACGACATCCAGGAGCTCCAAGAGGCGGAGGCCCTCCAGCACGTCGAGCTCGTCCAGGCTGCCGCGACGTCTTCGGAGCAACCTCGTACAGCGGTGGCTCTCCCTGGCACTTGGCAGGACCTTAAGGCGATCCTGGACAAGCTCGCCTACAGGCTGGACGACACGGATCCTTGGGCGCAGCTAGGCTTCGGATCATTATGCGGCCCCGAACCTACCGAGCGGGACATCTTGGCGAGGGCCCGCATTGCTCACCTCCTCTTAAGCGTAGGGACAAGCGAGGCCTGGGCCGAGATGGACAGGACCTTGGCCAACCAGGCGGACGCTGTGATCTCGGCTGCGGCAGCGCACTGCGAGGCTGGCCTGCCCGACGTCCGCGTGGCTCGACGGCAACTCCGCCCCGGCCGCCTTCCGCAATGGAAAGAGCTGGGCGGCGATGCATTAACAGCTACCCAGGCCTTGCCGGGCGCGGAGGGACACCACTTCCTCACGCAATGGTCGCAGGTCCTCGACCCGCGGGGCCGCCGCGCTCCCACGGTCGAGCGTCACCGCCGGCTATCGGATCTCTTGGAGAAGGGCGACGTCCGCTTCCTGCAGGGGACGCGGGGGCAGCAACTATTGGCCTGGGCGCCTGTCGACACGGGGGCGCTGCAGCGGATCTTGTCGCAATTTTTGCGTCGCGCTTCCACGGAGACACCGACCTCCATGTTACTGATCACGCCGTTGCCCTCCTTCCCTGGGGCGTCTGCGGCGGCGCAAATCTTCGACTTGTGGCACCACCCTCTACTCGGGGAGAAGCACGCGGCGATCATCCAGGCCATCCATCTTCTCCCGCAGCCGATGGAGTACATCCTCCCGGGACTACGTGGACCTCGCCATGTTCGGCAGGGCCCGGCATGCTTCCGCATCGCGCGTGCGGGCCCGCGGAGTGCACCGGCAATTGCTTTACCTCGGACCCCGCTCCTGAAGGTCTCTGGATCCGACAGCGTCACCATCGACACTCCGCTGAACCTCTTGCCAACCCTCATGTCCAAGTTGAGCGCCTTCGACGAGTTCCGCGGCAGCTCGATCCGAGAACCCACTCGGAGCATGGGCAGCACGAGCGAACTCCCCCGGACATCCGTGGAGCTTCTCCTCCCACCGGCCCTCTCGCAGCTTGGCAAGGAGCTCCTGATCCGCAGACTGCGTCGTTCGGCACTCTCGCAGGGGATGCCAATCGGCCATCGGAGCTTGTACGTGGCGGAGGACGCCATGATCCTCGAGTGCCTCTCGCCAGCTGTGATGCTGCAGGCCGGCCCGCTATGCTCGGAGGCCTTATTCATCGCCCCGACCAAGCTCTTGGTGCGCACTGAGGCTTCCGCCGAAACCTGGACCCACTTGATGGGCGGCCTCTGCCGGGAGGGGGAGCTCAGTCTCATCACCATGCTCCGCTGGAAGGCGAGCCGGTTTGGCGGGAGGTCCTACGCCCTCCCTTCTGCTACCTCCCCATCGCTGGCCGCCTCGCGCCGCCGCAAAGGCAAGGCCAAGGGGGCACCCCAGGCCACGGACTACATGACCGAAATACGCATCAATGGCGACCCGGGGCTCCAGGATAAGGCCATCTTTGACGATCTCATGCGCCGCGTCATGCAGGGCACGGGGATCAACCTACAAGCTTTCGATGGTACGGAGACCACAGCGTCGGGCTTCTGGAAACACATGGCCTGCTACGACCCCGCGTGCCCACCTGGCCGCGCCCGGCTCTACCTCGCCGACCGCGCGGAAGTGGGGAAAGTGCATGCGGCCCTCCACGGCCAGGTCCTGCAGGTGGGTGACGATTGGCTGGCCATCTCGGTCCATAACGACCTCCTCGACGCCAGCACTCTGGAGAGAAACGGGCCGAGGGCGCCTCCGGCGGTCCTCGGGCGCCTGCAATCAGAACGGACCGCGCGTGCATGTCTTTTGGAATTCAGGTCTATGAGTCTGGCGGCCATTCTCGCTTCGTGCTGGACCTCGCCATCTCCCTCCGCGACTCCCTTGGGCCGCCGGGAGAGGTGCACCAGATTTCGGCTCTTGGCGGCGGGGCGCCTAGTTCTCAAAGGACCGCACGTGCGCCACCTTCACGCTGTCCCTCTTCCCCTTCGTTCGAGTTCATGCCTCTACACCCTTTGCCACGTCTACGCCCGCAGCTTCCAGCCCTACCTCTCCGTCAACTTCCTTGGATGCACCCCTACAGCGACATCGCCGCTATTCAGCTGCTGCGAGACGTCCCCATTCAGATCCTACGTCGGCAGGCCTTGCGGCGCGCATTGCACGGCGCGCTGAAGGACCATGCAGGTCTGGGGAGCTCATCGGCGACCAGCCCATTGGACTCCGCCTCCGGCGCGGGCCTGGCGGGAGGCACGCCCCCCCCCGCAGCAGGGCCAATACCTTGGCAAGATCTCCGTGGCGAGCTGGAACACGCGGTCTACCCTGCAGGCACCGCGGTATACCCTGCAGGCAACATGCGGCCACTCAACCTTACCAATACCGACAACCGCATTTTCTGCAGCGCAGTGCGCCTGCATGTCGAGCCGCTGATCGAGGCCGGAGTCTCCCTGGAGCAGCGCGGCTTCCTGCGCGGACGCTCCATGCTGGCCAACGTCATCGACATCGAGGAGGAGATGATAGCCGACGCGCGCCTTGAGGACTTCCCCCTGGCGGTTTTCCTGGACTTCGAGGCGGCCTTCCCGAGCCTCGACCAGACCCTCCTCCAGTGTGTCCTGGCGGAGCGAGGCTGGCCCCGTTGGTTCCAGTGCTTCGCGGCCATCCTCTACACCAACAACTTTTGCCACCTTTCACTCTGCGGGTCTACAGGCGCCGGCTTTAGCATCACCGCGGGGGTTCGACAGGACTGCCCTCTATCCCCCCTGCTGTTTGCCATCATATCCGACGTGGTCTTGCGGCGGATTCGCCGCCTCTGCCCAGATGTGGCCCTTCGTGCTTGCGCGGATGACATCGCCCTCGTCTTCCGCAGGGGCCCCGCAGACTGCGGCCACTTGGAGCCGATCTTCTACAAGTGCGGCCTCGTCTCTGGCCTTCGCCTACATAGCGGCAAATCGATCATCGTGCCCCTCTCCCTACACGCGCATGAACAAGTCCGTGCAGCGGTCGCCGCAGCCGCGGCCCGGTGGGGTGCCTTCACCATCGCGGGCCACGCGAAGTACCTCGGTTTTTGGCTGGGCCCTACCCGGGGGGTGCGCCTCTGGGATGAGGTGTTCCAGAAGATGCAGGACCGCGCGTGGGCGTGGCACAAGATCGGCGGGGGCCTGTTCGTAACGCTGGCAGCGCACCGCATGTACATTCTGCCGCTCGCAGGTTTTGCGGTGCAGCTGGACCGCTTGCCACCGCACTGGCCGCAGACGGAACAGCGGTTCCTCGCGGCTCTCTTCCCCGGAGCCTGGGGATGGGCCTCCCCAGACCTCCTGCAGCACCTCCGGAGCTTTGGATTCGCATCTGAGCTCCCCAATGCGCAGGCCATGGCACAGGGGGCCAAATGTCGTGTTTATCGTTGGGAAAACATCAACATGGCGGCCTGCAACCTGCCCGTCGTGAACGGCGACTTCAACGCGCCCGCTCCTCCTCGGACCACAGGCAGCGCCTCGCCACCTGGGCCCCATGGTTCGACGGCAACTTCATCAGCACGATCCTCGAGACGCAGAGCCGGCTCGAAACGGTGGCGACGACCCAGGGGATCTCCGTAGATTTGCTCTTGCAAGGTGCTGCCACCTCCCCCACTCCGAAGCAGCGCTGGCAACGCCGATGCGGAGAGGTACTGTGCACTCGGGACACGCAGGGCCTCTCCCGGCACCTGCGCTGCAGACTCGACCGCTTGCCCTTTCTCATTTTGCCGGGGCACCGGGCGCAGCGCCTCGTTGGGCCAATGGCGCCGCCCTGCGTTTGGGCCGCTGTGCTCAAGGCGCTCCTGGATGGCTGGACTACCAAGCCGGCGACGCCGTGTCTTTTTGGTTGTGAGCATGGACATGATGACCTGCGCCATTGCGCCTACTGCCCCGTCGCGACGCGGCTCTACCGCACACAGCTGTGCCTGCAGCAGGGCCCCCCGGCATCACGGCCGGATGAATTTCTATTGCTGGGCAGGGCGCCGCCGCGCACGTTTGCCCTCCGCGCTCTCGGGCTGCACGCGACCTTCAGGGCCACCAACGCAGCGCGGCATGGGCAAGCGTCCGCCACGGGCGCTCGGCCGCAGGCGCTGGCAGACGGCGTGGCTCTCCGCGCACCCCTGGCCGAGCACTACGCCAACAGGGCCCGTTAGGGCAACAGCAACACCTACAGCATCCACTACTTCATCGTCTGAATGCGGTCGTGACGTGGCATCTCTCCTCCCGCCTCCCGCTATTCTCTAGTGCCGTTGGCTTAGCGCGCGCGGTCTCTCCGACAACTCCCGGCACCCGCCGGACAACCAGAAGGTTGCGTTCCTCTCTCTTTCCCCTCTCCCTTCCTCCCCTCTTCTTCCCTTCCGCCTTCTTCTGTCCCCCTTACTCTTTTTTCGCACCATTCTCCTGACTGTGTCGCCATGTTGCGCGGCACCCCTGGGGGCATGCCGATGGTCAGTGGGGCGCCCGGACTCGCTAGAGTGGGCTGGCGCTGACCCGGGATTTGCTCAGTTCTGTGTGTAGTTATTTTCCCTTCGATTATCACCGCTGGGTGCGATTTAGTTCTCCGCCATGCAACGCACGGTACTTGACGATACGAATTTGGGCATTTTCGTATCAGCCTTCCCTTCTCCTCTCCTCCTCCTCCTCTGTTCTCTTGCCACTCGGTTTTTTCTCCGCTTGAGCTGGCACGTTCGCGGAGCGATCGCTGCGGCAAGCGGAACCCACGGGGCGGGGTCGCTCCACCCGGGAGCCGAGATCCGTGGAGGGCAGGGGAGTGACGCACCAGCCTCCCAGGCGCTCCCCCACCTCCATGCTCTAAGCTCGCTTTTTTGTGTCAGTCCAATCTACGCGGTCGCCGGCCGGGGGGCCGACCGACCGGAAAGTCCAAGCAACGTGCATTCTGGAAAGTTAGCCTGGCGAAGGACCCAACCATATGCAGTTGAGAGTACCGCAATTGTGAATATCTTCTTCGGTGGCGCTCCCTATGGGGCCACGAGCCGTATGAGGGGTGTGCCGAAATGCGTGGCAGTGTACACAACACGAACGAAGACGATAGGTCCGAATATGAAAGCTTGAGCGCGTGCGAGTCGGATCGCGAGCGAGTCTGATTATGAATGAATCTGCGCGCGATTGATTCTATTCGCATGAATGCGTGCATGGATACGCCCAGTGTAAATGTATGTATACGACTGTGAACAGTTTGGGTCTGCGTGACTCTCGGTACTCGTGACTCTGAGCGTCGCCTCTGCAGGGGGCTTCCCTGGGAACCCCGACGGCAGCGCCCGCGCGCCGCGACGCCCATGTCGGCACGCCACACACCTGGTGTGCGGGACGCATGCGGACGGCAGCACTGGGGCCTTCGGTGGAGCTCCCTGTGGGGCCACGAAACGTGTGAGGGGTGTGCCGAAATGGGTGTGCGGGACGCATGCGGACGGCAGCCATGGGGCCTTCGGTGGAGCTCCCTATGGGGCCACGAAACGTGGGCCGGGTGTGCGGGACGCATGCGGACGGCAGCACTGGGGCCTTCGGTGGAGCTCCCTGTGGGGCCACGAAACGTGTGAGGGGTGTGCCGAAATGGGTGTGCGGGACGCATGCGGACGGCAGCACTGGGGCCTTCGGTGGAGCTCCCTGTGGGGCCACGAAACGTGTGAGGGGTGTGCCGAAATGGGTGTGCGGGACGCATGCGGACGGCAGCCATGGGGCCTTCGGTGGAGCTCCCTGTGGGGCCACGAAACGTGTGAGGGGTGTGCCGAAATGGGTGTGCGGGACGCATGCGGACGGCAGCCATGGGGCCTTCGGTGGAGCTCCCTGTGGGGCCACGAAACGTGTGAGGGGTGTGCCGAAATGGGTGTGCGGGACGCATGCGGACGGCAGCACTGGGGCCTTCGGTGGAGCTCCCTGTGGGGCCACGAAACGTGTGAGGGGTGTGCCGAAATGGGTGTGCGGGACGCATGCGGACGGCAGCCATGGGGCCTTCGGTGGAGCTCCCTATGGGGCCACGAAACGTGTGAGGGGTGTGCCGAAATGGGTGTGCGGGACGCATGCGGACGGCAGCACTGGGGCCTTCGGTGGAGCTCCCTGTCCCTGTGGGGCCACGAAACGTGTGAGGGGTGTGCCGAAATGGGTGTGCGGGACGCATGCGGACGGCAGCCATGGGGCCTTCGGTGGAGCTCCCTATGGGGCCACGAAACGTGTGAGGGGTGTGCCGAAATGGGTGTGCGGGACGCATGCGGGAAACTGGGGCCTTCGGTGGAGATGGGGCCACGAAACGTGTGAGGGGTGCCGAAATGGGTGTGCGGGACGCATGCGGACGGCAGCCACTGGGGCCTTCGGTGGAGCTCCCTATGGGGCCACGAAACGTGTGAGGGGTGTGCCGAAATGGGTGTGCGGGACGCATGCGGACGGCAGCACTGGGGCCTTCGGTGGAGCTCCCTGTGGGGCCACGAAACGTGTGAGGGGTGTGCCGAAATGGGTGTGCGGGACGCATGCGGACGGCAGCCATGGGGCCTTCGGTGGAGCTCCCTATGGGGCCACGAAACGTGTGAGGGGTGTGCCGAAATGGGTGCATGCGGGGACGCATGCGGACGGGCAGCAGCCTGGGGCCTTCGGTGGAGCTCCCTATGGGGCCACGAAACGTGTGAGGGGTGTGCCGAAATTGGTGTGCGGGACGCATGCGGACGGCAGCACTGGGGCCTTCGGTGGAGCTCCCTATGGGGCCACGAAGCGTGTGAGGGGCGTGCCGAGAGCAGAGGCAAGGAG